CTCGAAAGAAGAGTTAATTTTCCCTCATTTTTTCCCGCACTCGAATCGATACGAATGATACATCTATCTATCAAGCGATGAATTTTCTCATATCTGTCGGCGGATCTAATCGATCAATGTTTTCTATTTTTCGAGAGAGGAGGAAACTGCTCGTAGAACACGCGAGGCGTTAGGTTTCTAACAGATATCGAAGAGAGGCCGTACACACCGCGACGAGGATATTAAGAAACGTACAGGATGTAATCACCTACTTTCCGTCGTAAATCTCGGTAATTGACGAAAGCAGAAAGACGAGCGAGAAGGAGTGTCTTCTTCCTCGTTGTGCCTTATCGCTTCTTTTGCCCGAGAAGCGCCTGCTTTGATATTAGGCCGGCGCTCGCGAGAAATCGCGCGTATCTCGGAAGCAGTCCTTTTAATTTACTCTCCTTCTTTCCTTTATTTTTTCATTTTTTTTTTCGTCGTTTCCCCTCGAAGGCCGAAAGGAGGAAACACGCCAACACCTGTGATGCTCGTATATCGTGCCGCATTCCAGTGCCAGGTTGCGGTACATATACACTCGACACAGGCGGGAGTAAACCCGTTTACTCGCGTGCTTAAAGATCGATGCTAGAAGCGATGCGCGATAGCGCCAGGAGGAAATGCAAGTGGCATGAAAATTGAGATAAATAAAAAAAAAACGCGGAAAAATAGATCCGGCTAAGTGAGATCACTTTTCGCGATACGCACGCAGCTTGAGAGTGATTTGAAGGCATAAATTGCGCGTTTCCTCCAGGAATTTTTTTGGACTTTTACAAAAATCATCTGACACTTGGAAAAAATATGTATGAATATTACGTCGAAATTTTATCAGAATTAATCACAACTGCATTTGTCAAAATGAGTAATAAAAAAATTTTTTAATACAAAAATAATAAATATAATGTAATATGTAATAGATTATATATATGACTCGCAGATCGAGCAGAAGCCGCTGCAGAAGGTCAATAATCATCACGAGAATCACGTGTCCCAAATGACGAAAACGATCCAGGCGCATGCGAATCATGTGAATCACATCCAGCCTCACAATCATGCGAATCACGTAATATCCGAGCACGAGAATCACGTATCGATCGGTCGCGTGCCCAACCACGTGTCGGCCGTAAACCAAGCGAATCACCAGAAAAACCTGCAGAACCAGCTGCTGAGCCCGAGCCAGGAATGGCGACAGCCGGACGACGTCAGACTCCAAGAGGACAGCATCTACGAGAGCGGACCGGTCTCGATCAATGACGGCAAACACTCCCTATTGCAATATGCCATGCTAAACTTCCGTCAGAGCACAGAAAAGTAAGTTGATGTTTTGCACGTTTATATAAAATCACATTTCCGACCCCATCAACGTTTAACAAACGTTTTTCGTTTGTTAACCTGCCAATTGGTTTGTTCCTTTAACGATGAGAACGTCCTAGTAGAGCAGTACAAAGTATCACTCGAAGAATTGTGAGTCTTTAGGTTTTTTAATGCACAGAGAATATTGATGTGCCCAATTAAATTTGCAATCTTTTAAAACTCTATTGAATAAACCTCAATAATGAATGATAAGTATTGTAACGTTTGACTAGATGGACATTCACATGTTTTATGAGCGTTAAGGTTCGAAACGTTCCTGAAAGGCTTATACTATGTACCCTATAACGTTAATGTGTTGGTGGGGAAACAATTAAGTGTGTTACTCAATTTAAATCAAATCACGAAAGTCTATGAAAATTGTATTAAATAAAATACACACACAATATGTTAACATATTTAATTGTTAATTGATACGAAACGATTCTCTTGGAAATTGCACTTTTTAGGATAATTTTTTAATTGTCTTTTCGGACGATAAATTCCAAAAAAAATTATGGGTAATTAAAACGAGAGTTAATTAAAATGGGATCGCTCCTTTCTCGATTCCGGCTGATATCGAGAGCACACGCGAAGTTATTGTCGATTGCACGGGAATTAATCGTGAAGTGACTATTAACGTTGTTATGCAAGCGAGTCGTGTTGAGAAAGCATAACGCAGCCGAGATATCTATCCGACATCCAAATGTAATGTCCTTCTCTGATTATCGTTTCTTTCACTCCGCCATTCATATTTTTGCGTTGGAGAACGATGAAAATCGCGCGCGCGCAAACAAAAACTCGGAGCAAACGTGACTTTCAAATCCGACAGATTCGAGATGCTGAAGACGGCGGATGGATCGATCAGCGGGTCTCTCAAGGTGATCGAGTCGCTGAAGAGCAAGAAGAAGAACAAGAAGGGCAAAGGTCAGCAGGATGGCACCGAGTGGACCTGGAAGGAACAGGTGGACCTCGTCAAGTACTCCACTGTCCCCATCGAGCAGAGCTTACTTAGACTAGACGCGGAATTGAGCGTCCTGGCAGTCGAGTGCTTCCTCTGTCTGATGAGGTATATGGGCGACCAACCGTTGCCGCCCGAAACCAGCGAAGTCAAATGCGTCTACACCATTCTCATGGTAAGTTTGTATCACCAACAGAATGTTTTTCCCCGATTTTACTGTCTTCTTCTTGAATACATAATGTTTCCGCACGCTTGTTCTTCATTCTTGATGGATTACCGTAAATTTATTCATGAATTTACCGTTCGAAAATCTTTCGAAAAAGATAATAAAAATAATGAAATGCATAAGTCAGCTTTTTATTGTTCGATTAACATTGCGGTAAATTAATAGAAGAAATTTGATTCGCCGGCATATTCGCAGCATTGTCACAAGTTCGAGCAGCTCCGCGACGAGGTTTATTGCCAGCTGATGAAGCAAACGACGAATAACAAGAGCCCGAATCCGGAGAGTTGTCAGCGTGGCTGGCGAATCTTCAGCATCGTAGCCGCCTATTTCACGTGCAGCGAGAATCTCAGGCCGTACTTGACAAAGTACCTCGAGACGGCGGCGTACGACAAGCGTCGCGCTTATCACGGCACCGCGATGGTCTGCCTGCAGAATCTTCGGAAGACGGTCAAGTACGGCGGACGTAAGAATGTGCCGAGCGTGGAGGAGATCATGGCGATCAGCGCGGGCAGGAACGCGAAGAGGCAGATCTATCGGCTGCCCGGCGGCACCGAGCGGGTCATTAACACGAAATGCACGACCGTCGTGCAGGACGTTATTGAGGAGATGTGCAACGTCATCTCGGTGAGAAACCCGCACGAGATGGACGAGTTCTCGTTGTACTGCATCGTCGACGGTGACGCGTTCACCATGCCGCTGGCCAGGGACGAGTACGTCCTCGACGTCACCACGGAGCTTCAAAAGAACCACCAAGTGTTCTACTTAATATTCTGCAGGTATATTATTATATTATTATATTATTTTCATATATTATAATATTATATATTATATATTATTATACAATTATATATTATTTTTATATATTTTATATATTATTATACATTATATATTATATATTATATATTATTTTTATATATTTTATATATTATATATTTTAATATAATATATTATTATATATTATATTCTTTTATTATAATATGTTAAATATATTCTGCTTACGAACTTTTACAGAAGTTTCATTCACTGCTTTGTTAATTGTGACAATTTTGCATTATATCTATTTAAATGCCAAATATTTTTTCTATTGGGAAGATGATGATCAGTTAAAAAAAAATTATATCGTGCAAAATTGACGAAATATTTTGATAATCTTTCTAGATCTGTCTGGTACTATCCTCTGCGACTGGATACAGCGTTGTACATAGAAGTCGTATTTAACCAAATTGCTCCGGATTATCTGGAAGGACTTCTGCTAGTTCTACCTGGAGAACATTTACCTCAGGAAATTATTGTAAGTACCGCGCGACATCTGCTTAATAGACAGAGAAAGAAAGAGAAATAACTAGGATTTCACTGAAGTGAAGAAATGATTAACTCATGACGAGCGTATTTCGCAGTATGACATGGCGCAAATAGCGGCATTGCTGCACAGAGCAGCCGACATGACGCACGAACCCGCAACGAAGGAGATTAAATATCTGTTGCCGAAACCGGCGCTCAGCTTGAGAGAACCCAGGCCCCAACAGTGGTCCAACATGGTTCAGCAGGCTTGGAACAACGTTCAACACACCTCGGCGGCTGTCTGCAAGGCGCAGGTGCTCGGTGAGTTGAATCGAGATTGACGTTTTAAAGAAGTTTTTCATTCCAGAGCGCGTTGTCGAGTCATTTTCGCCAAGAAAATAACAGCGTTTCATAAGGAACGCTATTTTGTATTTCACACCAATTGTTTCTTACACGTGCGCGGATATAAAACACGGTGAAGGAAAAAGAGTTTCTTCCTGAGATTTATTTTAACGAGCTATTAAAAACTGTATTATGTTTAGAAATATTGTCCAAGTGGCCGCTTTTCGGCTCGAGCTTCTTCGCGGTGAAGCGAGTCCCCGAGGGCAAGGAAAAGGGCGCCGATCACATCCTCGCTCTGAATCGACACGGAGTGCACTTCATCGATCTACTCACGCACGTAAGTGACTTTCGAGACACGCTTTCTCTTCTCCGACAGCGTTCTCCTCTCTCGTCACGTGTAATTATTTCAGGAAACACTGTACCATTACCCCTACTCCGAGGTGATCTCCACCAGGAAGGTCAAGTCCGAGGAGGGCGCCCTCTACCTCGACATGAAGTGCGGCAACCTGATGCAGCAGCGCATTACCAGACTGCAGACGGAGCAAGCGCACGAAATCTCCCGTTTGATCAGACAATACATCACCATGGAACAGAGGACGTCCAACGGTCAGAGCGTCGGCGTCGGACTCGGCATGAGATAAGCACATCTTCGCGAAAATCCTTCCTTCGCGACCGATACTCAATATCCGGATTAGTCAATCTACACCGGGTCGTAATTAGAAATTAAATCTTCGATGTAGCATAATAAGACCTGATCTTAGCTGAAGCATTGACATGTCGCGGCGCTGTTCTTAATATGATTCGTGTATAAAGTGTACTCACCTTCTAGAGTGTTCGTCAACTACATAGGGTACCAGGTAGGGTAGATTCGAACCCTGACAGATGACGATTCGGGGTGGATATTCGTAGGACTCGCTGTGGAAGGAAGGATCGTGAAAGAAATGAAATGCTCAAGTATCTAATATGATATTCGGAATATGGACTCATGTGTGTATGTGTGTACAGCATTTATTTATATTGATTAAAAGAAAGAAAAGAAAAGAAAAGAAACATATATAAAAGTAAATAGAGCGAATAGAGATTTACACTTTCAGCGACGTAATAATAACGCTGATATTAACACGCAGACGTCTGACGACTATATTGAAGACTAACCACGCAACGATCATATGTTTATCGTCAGAAGATTATTAATAATAATTGTGTACGTGTAAGAGTACGATGTGAACGGCGGTATCAACTTTATATTGAAATTTGTACGTATAAAAAAAAATTATTGTTTCTTTTTTTACCTCTATTATCCTATATATTTATGCAATCTTTCTAAAATAATGGATACAAATTAATGTGAAAATTATTGCAATCCTGTATGGGATAAATATATCTCCCTCACTGTTATATGCTATTCACAAGTATAAACTCTATATACTTATTGTAGCGTCTTTGTCTATTACACGCGACAATTAAATTTAAAATCTTACAAGATAATCAAGTATATGAGAAACAATTATACATATATTAATTACTTTAATTCTTTCATGGTTAACTTATTTGTGGAAAGTTTCATGAAAATCTTATGTATATATATATATATATTATACAAATGCTTACGACTCTTACGAGATTAGTGAACCCTTTGAAGAAAATTAGAGATTAAAATCAACTATTGTACATGATTAAAAAAAACTTACTCCTACCGTATGAACACTAGCAATCACGTGATTATAAAAAATGGATCCGAAAACTGTGACGAAAGGATTAAATTCTATCGGGGCTGGGTCTCGCGGTGATCGATTTAACGTCCTGCGGCCAGTTACTTGCAGTGTGTCGAACGTATCCTGGCTCAGCTGGCGATGAGGGATTCCTCGGGGTTTGCGTCCCGGTGCTCCTCAGGACGCCCAGATATTCCTCCAGCATCTCGATCTCGTCCTTGGATCTTCGTCCTCCGCTGGTTCGATATTCCTTGGGCGGAGGTGGCACGTTGAAGGACACGTCGCGGTGATACGCCTTCAGGATCCCGGATGACTGGCGCATTCTCACGGGCACGTTGTCGTACTGGCTGTTGTCCGAAAATCTGAATTCGCGTTCAAACGAAATTATATTTAAGTATCGGCACGACAGACGGATCCGTGAATCATAAACGAAGAGAAATCTTCGCCAGCGATTCTTGCGACTCACGTCCGCGGTAAGGATGACTGTCTCCGTTCCGAGATATCTTAATAAGGTATGACTCATGTAATTATTTTTTTTTATTCCTTTTTATATTTCCCTTTTTTTTAATTCCTATATAATTGTGGGTATTAAAAGAGCAGGATAAGAAGAAAAAATATATAATAATTTGATTATAATATTATTGATATGTAATATATTCATAAGAATGATAGCTTCATGTCTATAATGAAAATAGAAAAAGATTTTTGAAGATCGCGATATGAATTCCTTGAAAATAAAATTCTCAAAGTTAGTTGAATCATTTGCATGACGCAAGAATCGTTCGCGTGCGCTTTCCTGCTCCGGACGACACAATTCAAGACATAATCATGCTGTGCCGATGCTTAAGTAAAAATTTCCGTGCCAAGATGACGAATTCCGGGGACGAATGGTCAGGAAATCACCTGTAGTTGTCGAGCGCCTCCTCGACGTCTCGTTCGACCCGCATGATCTTCACGCTCGGATTGATGATTTTCGCGAAGATCGGCTCGCCCTTCTCGTACTCCATCGGAAAGCGCGGCGTGTCGATCTCGTCGATCGGTCGCTGATAGATGTCCCGGCTCTTGTACATTATCCTGGACTCGTCGAGCCTGTGATCGGGCTCCCGGTAGCGCTGCGAGTCGCGTAGAACTCCGTTTTCGAAGTTCTGCGCCCGTTCTCTGGGTTCCTGATCATCGCGAACTTCTCGATCCCCTCGAGAGTCGTCCGAAGGACGAACCGCCGATGATTCTCGCTGAGGTCTCGCGGTTTCGACCTGACGATCGTCCGTCGACTTCTGGAAGGCTTCGTTCGCGCGACCGCTTTCATCCTCCGGGATTTTCACGACAGCTGATTTCGGCTTCGACTTGGTATCCTCGCTGGTCACCACTGGTGTTACCTGTCGCTTGCCTGCAACGTTTATAAATTTTATATGTTTCTAAATTACATATTACATTGTAGATTACAAACTTGTCTATCCAAAAAATTTACAAACATATGTAATATGTAATTTACAATGTAATATTACAATGTAATATGTAAATATATGTAATATTACAATGTAATATTACAATGTAATATGTAAATATTACATTGTAAATTATATATTGCATATGTTTACATTGTAACATTTACATATTACATTGTAATATTACATTGTAAATTACAAATTACGTATTACATTGTAAATTACATATTACATATGTAAATTTTTTGGATGGAAAATTATATTAATTAGAGAAGATCTTAATTATAAATAGAATAATAAATAATAAATAAATATGATAAATAATTGAGATATATAAAAATTGTTGCATCAAATTTCTTCTGCACAATTTAAGTATTATAATTAATTTACCTCTATCTTTTTCTAGGATTCGCGCTTCGTCCTGCTTCTCCTTCTTGTGAGGTTGACTCATCAGCAAATCCCCGATGAACACCAACGCTGTGAGCAGGCACAGCGCTCCCAAGACTGCAGCATTGTCAACCAGATCCTCGGGCACGCTGTCGATAGACGCCAACGACAAGGCGCCGACTATCCCGAAGAGGATCACGCCCAGTCCGAGTAGGAAGAATTCCTGAATATAAATCGCTTGACAATTAAATGCTCGCATCGGTTGAATGCAATCCGTTTATCTCGCATTGCATAATCGATCGGTTATACATGGGACCTTATTGTTACGCAACAATCTTCGGGAAGGAGAGCAAGTTTTTCGCGCGGATAAAACCGACGCGAAATGCCTAGTCGCTAGATATTCTAATACTCTATATTATCAAGAACAAACGCTTATTTTCGATGGGATTTTCTTAGTTAGAAAACATTGAATATATTTACGCGGGAGAGATCGATGCGATGCAATTCGCTCAAGATCGGCCCAGCCTCCCGGTTATGAGTCATTAAATGAGTTACATTACATTACGTGTCTCTCGATTGACCAAGGTTGCGATCACGTGCGCAAAAAGTCCGCTATTCGCTGCTTAAAGGAGAAACATTCTTATCCTTGGCCCCTCAATGACATCGAGTCGCGCCACCGATTTTCTCACGCCACCGTTTCTATCTCTCTCTCTTTCTATCATCGAGATTTATGCGCGGCATTATTTTCACTCGCGACCAACCTCGGAATAAATTAAATGCGCCTGGGAAGAATCTTGATGCGTCGAAATCGCCATCGTGTCCCGTTCCGCGTTACGTCAAACTTATCTCCGGACAGATTCCGGGTCTCCAGTAAGAAAAAGAAACACTTTTTTGACAAGATAAAATTTCACGCAATTAAATATCGTAAAAATCTCGATATAATCTTCTCTTAATATATCTGGTTTCCAGGAGAGTTCAAGTCAACTTTCTTTTTTTTTTTTTAATGAGCTATATATTACATCGACGTGGTATGTACATATACACCATCTGACAATCGAGAGAGCAAGCCTTTCATTAACTGAAATTATTTCAATAATTCGCTCCATCATCTACCTGGCTACTTTCCTAATCTCTCTATAGAATCGAGAGTCTACGCCGTGTGCCCCTACCATTAGGGTTTCCTATTGTCGACGTACATTGACGGCTGATTACGAAACATCGCATCTACGACACGCGCGTTCCTCATGAGAAAAAGAAAGCAATTATTTACCGTCTTTCGTCCGCGGAGCTCGCCGGTAGCCGCGGCGATCAAGAGACCGGTCGTTATAATGATGTATCCGCCGCAGGTCGCCGTTGCCAGAGCAGCGCCTGCACATTCGCGGAAACCAGGAAATGAGTGTACATTGAGAGAGTCGGATTCCTAGACCCAAGTCACGCAGAATATTTTTGTCTGCACGTATGTATATATATACACATATATGTGAATCATGAATATGCGAGTACCTATGCTGCCCCATGTCACGTTGTTCAGCAGCGACCACTCCCTGCTACGATTCCGCAAGTAGTGAAACACCCTTCGACTCTCATCGTCCGTCACCCTGAGCGCGACGACGCAGGCGACGCACAAGAGCTGCAATTTTTTCATGCTTTTATATAATCGTTTTTTTTTTTTTTTTTTTTCATTAGAAATCTTGATTTCTTTCAGAAGGGATATATTCAAAATCAATTTACTGACAGAAAAATAGAAAATTTCTTATGTTAATTTGGCCTCGTTTTTCAGGCATTAAAGTCTCTCAGCTAACGCGTCAATATCCTGTTATAAATAATTAGCGCTACTATTACGTGCTAATAGAGAGATAATTTTGAGTTTATACACGGAGAGAATTTTCTCTTAGAATTTATCTTGAAAATCGTAATAATCGTGGGACAATATAATATTGGAAGAATCTTATAAGAGTTTCTCTGATTAATATTTACCACAATAAAAAATATTATTATGTGCATATTAAAATTAATCGAACATATTTTATATCTTATTGTAATAGATATTAATATTTTTATTGTGGTAAATATTAATTAGAGAAACTCTTTTATAAAATTCTTTCAATATTATGTTGTCTTAGATTACTATGATTTTCAGGGTAAATTCTAAGAGAAAATTCTCTCTGTGTAGGACTGTAAATCTACTAAACTATCTCGTGATTTTTTTTAGAAGCGGAAGCAAAAGGAGACCTCACTAAAATTATTTTCACTTTTTAACGAACGTCAAATAAAATGCATCTCCAATAATATATACCACACGCAAAAAGCTTGAATCTGATTTTTTTCTGGAAAGATGTGGGAAGGGAAAAATTCGTTTACGTACCACTTCGATTATTCTGATGAAAACTTTGCGGTTCCACATGATGTTATATATCGCTAAAGATATGCGATTCCAAGATGCGGATGACTAAAGGAATGAGGAACGAACGGTCGTTTGCGAAAGTCTCGTCTCTTTTTGGCGAAGCATTACGTGAATTCTCAAGCTATTAACAAACCGTCCTCATTTGCCTTTGAAACGTCACTATTCGCATTAATAATTATACAGCTTTTGTTACGTTCACGAAGACATCCTTGGCTCCGAGCCAAAGAATTGTCATTTCCAGTATTTCAAAATAGAATAAGAATGACAAACCTTTCTCCCATTGTAGCACACAGAACGGTATAAGTTTTAAAATCTTGTAAAAATTGAATATTAAAAAGAAAAAAAATATAGATTCTAATAGACTATGTTTATATAATATTTTTCAGATTATAGTGTCATTATAAAATTTTGATGAATATATTTATAGAAACAAAATTTTTGACAATCAAAAATAATCAACTGAAACTATGTTTCTTCGCACATAAAATAATTTTTTTAAATTAGAAATCTCGATTTATTTCGATTTATATATAGAAAAGATATATATTCAAAATAAATTTAATAAGAGAAAAATATAAGATCTCTTATGTAACGTTAATTTGTTAGAAGTGCGAATTATAATCATCTCGAATTAATCTCGAAAAATGCAGGAAGAAACACAGCACACATTTTCTCGAAGCTATCTACGAAAGGTGAAAGCTCTCCTTTAAAAATCCAATTTTGTTATTTACGTCGCTGTGCGAACTCGTTAAACGTTTCTACTGACTGCTACTCGATAATGGCAAGTATAGTCGTGTTATCACCTGCAGCACCTGGAAATATCGCACGATGGAATCGCAAAACGAAGCTTCACGTCACGACGCGCCCGAGCGACGACTGAGAAGATATAGCGAAGGTGGAGCTGCTCATACACAGGTTGGCGGCATCGTGTGTCATGTAATGAGGACTGCCTGCATGCGAACGACAAATAACAATGCTATTATCACACACGGTGCAATGGCGCAGGACGATGCGAACCCGCGGATATGTGTCACGGAGACAGAGAAGCTCGTCGCGTTCTCCTCGTACCTTGAACCCGTTCGCAACAGGACGCACGTTAAATCTCGCTACCTGTGTGTATTTCCGATTTCTTGACATGTCTCTCTGCGTTTTGAAAAGAGAACAAGGTAATCTAAATCTCTCGCTAATTTGCAACAATTTTTTTTTCTTCGAAATTCGAAGATCAAACGACATAAAAGTGCGTGCTTGAGTTCCAATAAAAATTTATTTAGAACGTTGCGAGAATATAAATTAATAAAAATCTTTTTATTAAATTCTATAATTTTATTAAATTTAATTTTATATATTCTTGCAACACTATAAATAAAATTAAAATTGTATATATAATTTTTATTTTTTTATTTAACTTGTTTCATTTTATTTAATTATTTAATTTTTTATGACAATTGTGATTTATCGTAATTTGATATTTTTATTTTAATTTATATATATATATATATATATATATATTATATATATATATATATATACATATATGTACAATTTTATATATATATATATTAAAAAATAAAATAAGAGTAAATTAAAAAAAAAATATATATATATATATATATAAATTAAATATAAATGAAAAGAAACTAAAAGAATAAAAAATCTCGTAATGACATTATTCTAATTATTATCGAAATAAAATAAAATACAAAAATAATCTATTTATATGTTTTTAAAAATTAAAATACACTTAAAAAAAAAAATTAATGTCATTGAACTTTACATATTTTTCAAATGTGCACATTTCGAGAAACGTAGAAAGATCAGTGCGCGTTACCGCACGTGTTCCCGATATCAAGTGACGCGATAAGGTCAATTGTTTGACAGATGCCGGCTATAAATTGTTGGCGGTCGTCGGCGAATGATCAACAGACGAAAATCGAGCCGGTGCGGTGTGTCGGTGTTCTCTTTTCTCTTTTGTACCGCAGAAGGAGACATGCAAACATGCGTGGAGAAGAGAGACGAACCCACATCATCCCTTCCCTGTTAAATTTTCCGCCAATCCTGTGGGGCATCCCAAATCCTTCTTTCTCGATAATCGAACAGTCGCGCATAATTCGGCTGTTCTCCTCACGGACAGGATCAGAGCTCGTCTCGTTGCTTCGTGTCAATAGATCGATTCTCGAGGACCCGCAATAGACTCGCGAGACATATAAGAAAATATACATATTACTCGTATATATATATATATTATATATACATATAAATTACGTGTGTATATATATTATTCTTATGTCAGTGATCGCTCGCGAAGAGTCATCTTTAATCAGCTGATATCGATTTATTGATCGAGAGATTGCTTGTGGAGATGGAGAACAATCATAAATCGAAGGGTGGCCGCAGAGGAAACAATCGGAGAAGAGGTGGCAGCAACAAAGAGAACATTAAGCGCGAGATCGAGAGGATGAAGTCGATGAGCGAGGAATCCATCGTGTGGTCTTATCCTACGTCCGACAACGAAAGCAGGACGGATGTCACCGACCAGGAATCGTCCCTCGATTTAGAAAATTTCGACAATGGTGAGTCGAGAGAGTTTTTTTTTGCGCGCAATTTGCGTCTTAATCGCTCGCGATATATTTATGTGCGTTGTGGGAAGTGAAAATATTTCTGGTCTCTTTTGGAATGATACGAGAGAGCACGTCGAAAGATAATGTGTGTGTTTATTTCGGACAATAGCTTCGCCATGGATACGATTACGCGGTGTTATTATTAGTGTATATATCGTATGTGCGAACAATAGTGTATCTGTATGGTTCCTTATATAGATTTATTTATATTCGATTATCAGATTATGTAGTTAGCTTTTTGTTCAATATTTTTTATATTTATTTTATATTTTATCCGAATATCTCATATTTTTAGCCAGAGCTTATATTTCGATACGTATATAATTATTTTTTATTAATATTGCATTTATATATAACTCGAAGTATTGCAATTTTACATCACATCTGTGAAGCAATCCAGATTTAATAAAAATAACGTCAATAGTATTAGTCTTATTGAGATTGAAAAAAATTTTTTTTCTCAATTAAAATTACGACACAACATTATTTTATTTTATTAATCTGCATTAAAATATGATATTAAAATATTTTCAAAGTTAATTGCTACATATATTATTTATATCTGAATCGTGAGATTTTTTTGGAATGAAAATATCTTGTAATTATTTTTTATTAATATTGCATTTATATATAACTCGAAATATTGCAATTTTACATCACATCTGAAACAATCCAGATTTAATAAAAATAACGTCAACAGTATTATTGAAAAAAAAATTGTTTTTCTCAATTAAAATTACCACACAATATTATTATTTCATTTGATTAATCTGCATTAAAATATGTAAAAATATTTTCGAAGTTAATTGCTACATATATTATTTATATCTGAATCGCGAGATTTTTCGGAACGAAAATATCTGTTGTTCCTAATAAATTGATCTATAACATATCTATCTTCATTAATGCGCAGGAGGAAATGAGAATGATCCAAAGGCCTCGCTCATGTGTCCCGCGTTACGCCGACAATTGCAGACGCACAAAAACGTTCTTCGGCTTCTGCACGAGTACAAATTAGCATCAACGCAGATCAACGGCCAGAGGATCCTCAGCATACAGCCGATTCGATGGACCGGGCCGACGCCCGGCATCGATTGCGAGATCTTCGTCGGCCGCATCCCGAAGACGATCTACGAGGACACCCTGTATCCGCTGTTCAAGACGATCGGCGAGGTCTTCCAGATACGGCTGATGGTCGACATGGCCGAGCTCACGAGAGGCTACTGCTTCATCATGTACACGAATCCGGAGGATGCTGGACGCGCCATCGTCCAGCTGGATCAATTCGAGATCTCCCCGGGTAAGAAGATCCGAGTCCTGGCGAGCGTGAACAAGTGCAAGCTCTACATCGGTCCATTGCCGTGGCATATCAGGTCCGAGGAGGTTGTCAGAGTAAGTTTTTTTGTTTGCGTTATTTTTTATTTCTTTTTATGTATTTTTTAATATTTTTTATATTTATATTTTTTCGAGTATCTCATATTTTTAGCCAGAGCTCTTATATTTTGATTACATAAAATAATTAATTAAAATTTATATTTTCTCCTTATTTTTGACAGCTTAATTAAAAAAAAATTTATTTTTACCTCTTTTCTTGTTTTAAATTTATTATTAAAATGTTTAAATAATTTTTTTTCGTATGCGACCAGGTAATCTATGCATCAGCGTGGGATATCGAATACGTATCTATTTATCGATTTCCGAATCATGACGCGGCTTACGCTATCGTCTCCTTTAAATCGCATCGAAATGCAGCCTTGGCAAGACGAAAATTGAGACCCGAAAAGCTTTTCAAATGCAACGAAGTACACGTAGAATGGGCGCGTGTCGATTGGAATCCTTCTAATGTGGTGAGTAGACAATTTTTATTTTTTTCTGTTTTTGCGATCACGTCAGATTTTTCAACGATTAAAATTGAAGCACTGAAATTTTATAGATACTATTTTTATTTAATAGATTCTATTTTTGGCCACTTCTTTTTATTCAGGAAAATTAATAATTGTTCGTAAAAGCACTGACGTATAATTTTTAAAATAATGGTTTTAACTTTCTTAAAATTATACTTTTAAAAGCATTTTGCACGACGCTGCTTCAATTAAAATCGAAATTAAACGAAGAAAGTCAGTATAATTCTTCTATATATTCGTGAAAACAGGAGATTTATTTATTGAAATTTTATATATATATATATATTTTTTTTTTTATTTATTATATAATAATGAAATTTACAAGAGTCGATATTTTTTATCATTTAATTATCATGTTATATTGGAATGCGTGTGTAATTGATATGCAGAAATTAGAGAACTAATGAAATGTTTAAGATACAATCACATTTTTAATGCAACTTTAGATTTTTGCTTTTATTACGCTAAGATCGTAGCTGAAAAAGTCGATGACACGTGACTTTCAAGATATAATTACCGGATTATCGACGGAATTGAGCGGCTCCTTTGAAGTAGTTTCTCGTGTTTTTCGTCACGAGGCGCTCACTTTGTCATTCTAGTCATTCGGCCAGACTCGGCCAAACTCGGCGATATTGATCGCAACATCAGCTGGTCGGCGTAGTAGTTTCATTCATGCGGTCGCGTTAAACGGTTCTTTCACTCCGCGAATTTCTTCTCTCTCAATCGCACGATGAGCGTTTCGAAAGTGCAGACCAGTGATTATTGCGATTATCGCAGTCCTCTGTCGACTCGGTACGCCTCCAAGAAGATGAGCTATAATTTTAGTGACCAAAATAAATTCAGCACGTGGCGCAAGCTCTGGATCTATCTGGCCAAGGCTGAAATGGTATGTGCGACAAAAAGATAATACACGATTCATTTACTGGTATTGTTCGTGTTGTATCATTGGCATTATAAATTCCTTGCGAATACAACGAATATAATATTTATATTTGAATCTTACCTTCTTCAGGCTCTCGCGAAGAGTATATAAGATAAAAATAAACTCTGTATGTTGATTCTATATGATTACAACTACATTTAATCCAGTCGAAATTAGATACGTAATTTAGAAGATTTCTAAGATCCGTTTTGTTTTTGAAATCGTTCTCTACAATTTTTTTGAATGAGAAATTTATGAAAAATATAAATATAAAAATAATAAATAATATATGAAAATAATATTTTTGGATAAAAAAATTCTACTTATCTATGACAAATAAATTTACGGCAATGTGCTTTGCAAGAAGATTATGAAATTGTTTTTAACGCGTTCATACTGCCCCACATCTTATCGATTTGTGCGTGACATTTCGAAAACATGTTATCGTGGACCCCCACGAAGGTTATACGAAACGTCAGCTTAAGACGTAAGATCTTAGCGTAAATACTTCAAGTTATGTAAAAAAAGATTATAATTAATTATTATTCTAATGAGGAATATATTAATATGCATTTAAACAATTTTCAATGTTAATAACTCCTTTACAAGAACTTTAAAAAGTTCGAGAAGATCGATTAAAAAAATAATTCTCATCAATTGATTATCGAAAACTTAAACAATAAAATACGCATTCCAATATGACATTACTTTATAATCTTGTTTCCAATTCTCGTTTAAAAAAAGTGAACTGTTCTCTTGTGATGCTTGAACTCTCTTCGTATTCTGGCGACTTATTTACAATATTTGGTTTGCACCGATAATAGATATCAATTAACTTAAGTAACTCAATATCAATGAATTCGTTAAAGTAGCCCTTTTTGTATCACATTTACCTTATTTTATAAAACATAATATGCTGAATAATCTTTATATTATCTGTCTAAAATATTAAGAAAAAATACACTTACTCCAAAAAAAGAAGTGATACATTCAAAATTTGGAAAAAATCAAATTTCAAATAACGATAACTTTGTAAATAATAAAGATATAAAGGTTTCTAAAAAATGAAAATAAAGCTTGGAAATTCCACTTTAAGAATCTATTTCTTTCAATGTTGCGAAATAATTTATTAAAAATGGCGGATGACAAAACGAGAAAATGCAAATTTGAAAAATAATGGTCTAACTTTACCAAGACACATGGCGTGAGTCAAATGTCGCAACTCGATGGGATAAAAAGTTCGTAATAGTACAGAGTTTTACCTTTAAAATGCTTTTTTATTCATCTCGATACGACAATTTTTCTCAGAGTTATTCGCATTTAAAGTAAAAAGCTGCCTTTTTATTTAAATACGAATATCTCGGCGAAAAATCATCGTATCGAGATGAGTAAAAAAGCATTTTAAAGGGGAAACTCTGTACTATCATATACTTTTTATCTCATTGAGTTGCGACATTTGACTCACGCCATGTGCCTTGGCAAACTCGGACCATATTTTTCAAATTTGCATTCTTTCGTTTTGTCATCCGCCATTTTTAATAAATTTATCTCGCAACATTGAAATAAATAGATTCTTAAAGCAGAGATTCCAAGCTTTATTTTCATTTTTTAAAAACCTTTCTATCTTTCTTATTTACAAAGTTATCGTCATTTGAAGTTTGACGATTTTTCGAAATTTTAAGGATATCGCTTTTTTGCAGTGAGTGTATATTTAAAAAGAAAATTTAGAGATATCTTTAAAATTTTGTTGAGATGAAATGAATGTCGGTGCAGCCAGACCTACATTATATTGTCTGGGCAAAATCTATCTAATCCCTCTCTCCGAACTTCGCATATTCGTATTATCAGTACGAAGATCGTGGCACGGTAGACGATAAGGGCGACGTGAACATTGTCCGAAAGTATCTGCAGTCTAAGAAGACGCCTACGTCATCGTCGGCTCCGACGCAGAATGAGTCTAATCATTGCCAGAAGCAACTTCTTCCGCCCATTTGCCCGCCGTTGTCACCCGGTATCAATCAAGGCAACGATCAAGGGAACTCTGTCAAATCCAATCGGAACCCGAAAAACACTCGTTACGCCACTATGCTAACCATGTCGGCGACGCTGGACGACGAGAAGATAGAGACGCTGACTGATATCAATGACAACAATGTACGGCTAGACGTCGCCAAGGATCCGCAGACGCACCAGAAGAGCGATGTCAGTCATATATCGACGGACAGCTTCCGGAACTTCGACATGTGGAGCTCCAATCTGGTCTCCCAGTTGTCCGGTTCGTCCGCGAACTCCGGCAGCTCGAAGGAATCGTCGAACACGACGTGCGAATCTGAGAACGACGCGAGATATTCCTTGCCGAAGGCAATGCCGTCTCTCAATAAGGGTATCGGCAACCGGCACCCGAACAGTGTTTCGAATTATCGCTATTCTTACCAGAACTATCGATCTTTCGGTAAGACGATCGACCAGAATCAGCTGATCAGCGACGCCATCCAGTACCAAGTACCTTATCGAAATCCAGCTCCGTCGTGCTATCTCGTCCTGCAGCCTCATCAGAATTATCTATATCCGAAGGACGCAATCGTTAATTATCCGCAAACCTCATTCGTTAATCGTCTTCCCGACGAGCTGACCGGAGTGCCTTTGTTCATGAATTCCGATCGCCGACCGTCCACCTTCTGGCACAACCAGCCGGGATCGATCGCGACGGATAAGGAAAATTTTATCGGCGACGGCGATTTTCGGCGCGAGGGAGTTGTACTGAAGCCGGAAGCCGAGAACATCGCGTCCGGCTATATTCCAAATTGTTTACCGAACATCATGATGAATCTTACGCCGATCTACGCGTCGGAGAACAACGGGACGGCACCGTATCTTGTCTCGTTCGACGCGATAAATGGCAGTGACGAGAAACGTCCTAGACCGATCTTGAAACAGACGACAGCCGGTCGTGGTTGGTTGTGATTTGGACTTTTCTTTCCTCTTCTTTTTTTTCGTTTTTTTTTCTTTTGAAAATCGCTTTACGCAGATTTTAAAAGACGACGCGACGCTAGAGATACCAAAGAAGGCGTTTTTACGTTTTATTTCACGCACTTGACGGGTGATAATCATATTAGGATATTTGTCTTTTTTTTTATTGATGCTGCCAAAGATTTGCATGTAAGTAGCATAAGGATCTTTTACGCGTTGTTTAAGAGCTCGATCTAGTTTCTTAGTTTAATAACTCTTTTTATATAGAGTTATATTATTTATTATTTTAATGATCCAATCTTGTACTAGTATTTTTTCCTAGTACTTTGAAACCGCGTATAAAATCGTTGGTATAAATTTATTTTTTTCTTTTTTTTTTAATGATCGATGCGCATGATCTCATTTGTAAAACGACAGATTTATATCGGATTAAGTTTCATATGCGTTGCTGCGAACGTACTTACTATATACTTATTTGGAGGACGTAAAATAGGAGCCCCGATCTCTGAGTACTATTTCAACAATCGCATGGTTTTTTAAGAGACCTCAGATTTTTTATCGTTATATTTTTATTTTTTTATCGTTACGCGCTCGGGGCGAGAAGAAAGTTCTGAAGAACGCGAATTTATCAATATGAAGAAATTATGCAATATTATATTTGAAATCGCTCTATATATATATTTATATATATATATATTTTAATGATACAAGAATGCTACAAGACTCAAAAGTATAAAAAATGAAGCTAAAAATAATGAAAAGTGCATTACAGCATTACAACTGATTACAAATAGAGGACGGAAATAGGTATCATGTTACAAAAGAAGATACGAATCATGTGTTCCCCCCGATATCTTACATTAAGTTACAATTAATAATCAACAACGCGATTTCTCGTGCTCCTATTTTTAACATTTACGCGAAAAAAAAACGAAAATTCGTTTTATTCCTTATCGCTGTTCCTAATGACTATTATATTGTAAGGAATGAGTTTTTAAAGCAATCACGATATATCAACGCTTCCTGTTCATGCAATATCTACTCTATCGACGTGAGATATCTGTAGTTGTGTGTTACAATGTAATTGCGATGCGTTTACATGGAGGATGGAGAAGAAGCCGCTGTCTGTCTCTGCGATTGACCGCATTTCGGACAAGCGTCCGGTTTCAATTTATTCTGCGAATAAAAAAATATTTTTGATCCATCACTTTCATTAATTTTTTTGTCAGATAGATTGGCATTTCTTGACACTTACGATTTTAAAGCCTCGTGGTCGAAGAGATAATCGACAATTGGCACACCGTAGCTTCTTCAGATCCTTGACTTCGACTCTGCTTATTAACTAAAAAAAAAAAAAAAAAAAACGACGGAAAAAATATATTCTTTTTTTTTAAGCAAATTAAATAATTCGAAAATTTGCTTTCATCGATCAATTTGACTACTGAAGAGAGAGTTATTGTTTCGTTTGCGCACGATTTCATATATATAAATCTGTTCTAGCCAGACATTTGTAACACGGAGGAAGTTTTTCCGTCCGAAAGGTTTGAATAATAATTTTTATAATACACAAATATAAATTGACAAATATATTTACCCTATCTGTTGGAGCGCAAAACTCGCAAAAATATTTTCCCTTTTTGTCTTTGAAGATGTTGCAGCTGTTTGCCGAAGTTGGCGTTGAACTCTGAAAATATAAAATTGCAATTGAGAAATTTTCAAATATAATCAGAATATAATAAAACCATCGCGTTCTGAAGTCACCTGAAGTCGCTTGCAGTGTGAACAAACGTCCTTCATTCGATGCTCGATCGATTTCGGCAATTCAACATATTCGTCCTAAAATAGGAATCGAGATATTCTGTTGTAATTTATTTTTCAAGAGTAATAATTCTACATTAATTTTTTTTATACTTTCTGGACAGCCGGGCAAACAAGTGTTCTCGATGCTGCTATTTCCAACCCGGGATTTTCGTTTGATACACATCTGAATAATAATTGAAATTATTTTTATATTTACAGTATATTTTGGAGTATATTGTATTCGTTATCGTATATTATTTACAAGAGTCTTCGCTTGCTTACGCGTCTCTAATTGGATCCACCTTGTTCGATTTCAGGTATAAGTATGTTTTAGGCTTCGTCCTGCTGCTGGCGAACGACGAAATCAATGCGGTTCTAAAATGATCCCGAATTATAGTATTTATTTCCTTAGACATTGCGTAACGATGACAGTCGATTCAGCTGTGCAAGGACGTACAACAGCTAAATCGATAAGTCGTGTCGTCTTAAAGAGGACACGCTCGCCTACGTTTGGTGCCTCGACGATCCCTTCAGGTTCGACGAGCTTTCTCCATCTGACGCGCGCGTAAACTGATGACAGGTCATAATTCGGCGCTCCTCTCCACCTCCTTTACTTCTTTCAGTTTCGTCATTGTCTTCAACTCCTTCGATCGGCTCCTCTTTCCTTTTCTTCGCGCTCTCTTCGTTTCTTCTCTTCCCATCGATGGTCTCGATGATCATCTCTTCGATTGCCGCGGGATCCTCGCCTTTAGCGAGCATCGTAATTATCTCTTTCGATAATTCTTGGTCGGATTGGTTGAGCGAATTTCCATCTCTCTTTATCTCTGCTGCGTCGACTTTTGGCTCATTGTTAGATCTGAGATTAAGTAATATTTATGCATATGTGTGTGCGGTCCAATTAATTTTATTTATAATTAATTTATAATTATTTCCAATTAATATCATAAATAATATATATAATAAATTAACACAATTGTTTAAATTAAATATTAGAAATTACAATTTAGATTATATATTTATTATAAGTCTAAATTGTAATTTCTAATATTTGATTGAAACAATTGTATTTGTTATATTTTATAAATATCCTCGATAGAACAACGCTCGTGTAATTATATTCAGGAAATTTTAGATAAACTTTCAACGCGCGTACGCGGAATTTACTGAGTTATTCGGCGATGTCAGCAACTTCTTATCCGGTTTCATGTAGATAGAGGCGAGAGTAAGTCTTGTGACAGTTTGCACTCCCGTCTTTAATTTCGTTGAATTATTGGCAGTTCCGTGACTTTGAATCTTTGGTGACAATTAATATAAACAATTATGCATACTAAAAGGATACCAAGAGATTCAGGATCGGATTTATATATATATAATATATATAAAAAATAAAACTTAAACAATTCGTCTTCAATTTTTTTCGGGAATAGTTTTATCTCTTAATTATTTTATTACAATCCTAAAAAAATTATATATTTCGATATATCAGAGTTGTAAATCATATATCTTTCTTTCCATATATATATATATATTTATTTTTTCATTTCGTTTAATCTAATCAAATACTTAGAATTACGCGCGCGAAGCAAAGTTATATTATTCTTCGATCATAAAATTCCAAAAATTGCAATGTATGCATAAACATTTTTGCAATGCATACATAAGAATTATATATATGTATAATTTAATATTTTGCAATGCATAAAAATTCAATATTTAAATTTTTAATAGAGAAGAAAAAAATATTTAACAAGAATCTCGAGTAAAATATCCTATGCTCCCATTAAATTTACACGTCCACTGCACGTCGCGTGCGAGCAATCCTTTTCAATATTAGTACATCCCACGCATCCATCATGCTGCGCGTCTGACGCGAGACTGATTCTCGTGCGAGGTATCGCGAGTGCGAAACTGCTGATCACATGATCAGTCGCGCGCGAACAGTGCAGTGCGGTGGACGCATGAGGACGCGCGTGTCTAATAAAAGCGTGAGTGTATTTTGATCACAAAAATTCTTGCAGACAATTCTATTTTTTATTCGCATTTTCTCTTACAGATTGAAATTTTTATGCATTGCATAATTAATTAATTTATATTTTTATGCATTGATTGCAGTAATAATTTGTATCCATATGTTGCAATTTTTATTATTAAAGAATAATATAACTTCGCTTCGCGTGCATAATTATATTTAGTTAGATTACATAAAATTAGAAAAATATTTATATATTGGGATTGCAACAAAATAATTAAGACAGAGATAAAAGATTTCTATTCTCGAAAAAAATGACAGAGATTTCCGATTCTGAACGATAAGAATTTAATATAATTTCGTATATCAGATTTACTCGTAACCTGCTGTGTTGCCTCACTCGTAGACGTTTTGTTAGTTTTTGGAGCCGATCGAACCGGCGATTCCTTACGTTCTAATTGTCGAGATTGTTGCTGCGGTTGCTTCGGCTCTTGCGGCTGTTGCGTTTGCGGTGCAGTTCCCGTTGCGCATTTGCATCTACGAGAGGAGAGACCGGATCGCATTATTTCTTCGAGTCGAATAATATATATACGTTAAAAATCGCTCGTACAAATTTACCCGGGACAGCACGGCATGCCGTGCATTCCTCCGCGGATGAATTGCACGATGGCGGGATAGGAGGACCCAATGGTCGGATTATAGAACGAATTGTGCGATGAATTGTGGGAATAATGTCCTTCCTCGGGTGCCACAGCGGTTTGCAAAAATTGATGGCAATATTCGCATTTGCTGTATGTCTGCATCGGCGTTTCTTTCACGACCGTCCTCGGAGTCTGATTAAAAAAAAGAATATAGAGAATTTGAATGATACAAAACTTAATAATAATTACGCAAATTAATTTAATCAATGGCTTATATTTTTAAAAATCGATTCGATTGTTCTTTGATTTTTTTTCAATCGAGATATCACAGTTTTCGCTCTGAAGAAAAATTATTTTTAATAAATTAAAACATTTGCATGAGATTTAAGGGGATGCTGATCATGACTGTTTTACCGACTTTGAGTTCAAGGGCTTTTCTTTTTATTGGCTATATAGATTGAAAAATCCTTCTTTACAATGAAGTACTGAAAAATTATGCGTTGATCAAATCATGAAACTCTCACTTGACTCTCCATGACGGATGTCTCGCGCGGTTCCGTTTGGATTTGGGCGATGCTGAGATTGCAGAAGGATGGTGAAACGCAGGTGGGACAATCGATGTATTCTCTTCTTCGAGGGTATTCGATTTTACGGAAACTGTGATCGGGCGTCGTGACAGTTTTTAATTCGACAGGTACCCTGACGTCGCTCAGACTAGTCGTTACGTCATGCTTCATTATCTGTTCGAGAGACATTAATTAGAACAAAATATATTTAATTAAATAATTTAATATATATATATAATATATATATTATTATATATATAATAATATTATTATATAATATTTTTTATTATATTATATAATATAAATATATATAATAATATTATTATATATATTTAATTAAATAATTTAATTAAATACGCGTAAAAATTCTTTGTGTTCTATTACGGATTAAATGCAAAAATTTATATCAGATGGAAATCTTCCTCCGCTCACTTTGGTATCAGATGAGTGTGGTTCTTCATCCTTACGTAGCAAATGTTTCACTCCTTCGTTATTACAACATCGTTTGCAGACGGAGCATTTTCTCTTCCAAAATCTACAGAAAACGTAATATTATGTCTTCCGCGTCTCTTGACGCTGATTCGAGAATAAATCAATAATCGTGAGATTATATACAATACTTACGCGACTATCATCGTGATGTCGAGCAAGAATAATAACGCTGTCAATAGACAAAGTATCACTGTTCCCACCTGCACGCCCACTTGCTTGTAGTGATAAAAAATTAACGACATTCCGGTGATGCCGAAAAATATGAAGCCGAGCAAGGAGAACACGTACATCTGCGTAATCATTTTTTTTTACGAAGAAAAAAAATATATAATTTTGCGATATATTTGAAAAATATGTACCATATGTTTTTTTTCTAGCTCGTCGATAAATGATTTTTTTCAACAGGCATTTTGAGAAAGATAAATTACGAAGAAAAATTTCAAAATAAAATTTCCGAGTGGTTCTAATTTTTATTGAGATAATTGAGCGAAAATTAGACATTTCAACTCTTTGACGTGCAAAATTACCGGAATAATGTGCAGGGCGCCACCGGCAAAGTAGCTGATGAGCTCGACAGCCAGGATGAAGACGTAGATGCCTGATAAGACGATCAAAAAAATGCAGGCCAACGAGCTTATCGGTACGGGATCCATAGCGATTATGTAAATTGTGAATGCGAACAGCAGCAACACTGTAAACTGTCTCGAAAGGAAACATTTTTTTGAATTATAGAAAATTAATCGCTTTTAATTTTAATGTGTTTTCTCTAATGATTGAAAAATGTAATAATATATTAGATACGCACAAACTCAAATATCCTCAACGGCTTAATCATGTTTAACACACATCTGTTTGTCCTGTGCTGCTGAAGGAAAGTTTGTTTATACTTGGCCTCTTTGCTCTCTGCCATCTTTGCTGTTTTATAGATTATTTTATTTAAAACAACTTTTGACAGTTACGAGAACAGTTACGAGAACGTCGTGCATTTTTGTTTCTATGATCGAGATCGTTATGTCACAGAATGACCAACTTCGTATATAAGTATTTGTTTTTTTTATTTTTATTTGTTAAATATTTTTATGATCCAAGGAAAATAGGTAAATATGAGAGAGAGAGAGAAAGAGCGAAAAATATATAAGATAAATGAGAGAAGAAATATCTTTTATTTACTCTTAAAAGAGAGTATAGTTTCAATTGTGTATTAAATATTTTGTAGAAATAAATGCTCTTTGAATATACATACAAAACTTATTGGACGGATTCACACGCAAATAGATATTTATTGCTCGAATGGCAATGAAATTTTTACAATTTGCGATTACACACGCAATCGTTGCGATTTCTCGCGTTCGATCTCTTGTTTTTACATAATATTATCTACGAATCTATTATATTAACACTAATTTTTCCAACGATAACGATATACACGATATGTTGCTTATATACTACACTATGGTGATGATTATATAACACTATTATCAAGTTTCTACAATACGATTCTTGTGCTCGTCAAATGATATACAAAGTAAATATTACAAAAAACTTTATAATTTGTTCTACAATTTTTTCTCAAAGCAGATAATATCCGTTAAAATTCGTGATAAAAGACAAAAATTTTTTGTTAATTAAATGTTTTTTAAAAAAAGACTATCTCTATAAAATATATTAGGACTATATTGACTTAGCATTTTTTGAGACACATTTCGGAAAACTAATAAGTCAATGGTGTAATAAACTTTCAAAAGAAATTTAAGATCTTCTGCTTTTTTTCTTCGTAATTCTGGCGAGTTCCTCGACTCCCTTAGATCGTCGGATCTTTTACGAAATTACCTTCGATATATATTCACGACGAATATCTTATTATGGCGACCATTTCCGCGACAAATACTACCGCGTTGACGAACGTAAATACGGCCGCGGATATAAGCATATCCATGTACTGTTTGCTGGGATGTATCTCATCGTTGTACACGTAATAGTAAGGCCCGTTCATCTGACGCCAATTGTGGACCATCAAGGCTCCGGCAACCACGTGCATAAACGCGCCCACGGACGCGAAGATTAGCAGCTGCAACAATTAAATTAATTGTCGATTAGATTCGCGATTCTCGGTTCGTTGCGTGAAAAGAATCACGCAACGAACAGTCGGCTATTTTTAATTTTTAATTATCGCGGAAACAAATGAATACACACATCATGGTGACATATCATTACATATAGCATTATGCTTTTGAAACATGACAGTTCAATTTGCGTATAGCTTTTGATGACTCTTATCCATACAGTGTGAAATATTTGTAAAATCTTTTAAAAATATTTCTTAAAGATCAAATAATTCTTGAAAACATTTTTAAAATGTTTTTATGTCCGCTTTTTCATGTTTTAAACAATAAATTTTAGAAATATTTTTGAATATAGATTTAAACTAATATGTCAAAAAATGTTATCACAAAAAATTTTTAAATCATTTTCAAATATATTTAAAACCATTTTGAAATGTTTTTATGCAATATTTTATAGAAATATCTATTTAGAAATATTTTTTTCAAAACATTCATAATATTTTGTGCTGTATAGCATTGTATATAATGAATTCATTTAATTATATAATTTTCATTACGAGAGAAGAATGAGAATAGTTTTTATTTCCAGTTTAAATTAAAATTAACGCGACGAGACATTTGACATTAATCCGCGATCAAGTTACACATTTCATTGCATATATTAAACAGGTGACTCGTGATTGTTTATCGTCGCATTTATTATACTACGTATTAAACCGAGATATATTTTCCCAAGGTTGTTTGTCGAGATCTTGGGCTGGCGTCGCATCATCATCATCATGCATCGTAAGAAGATACGTATTATATACGGAATTTGCACAGTTGAAAAGTTCTCGTTTGCATGATTTACAGACTGATATATCTCGGCCGATTCGCTCCGATTCGATAAGTTTGCACGCATGTCGCGTTTATTTGATGACACATATTTCCATTCGGAAACACATTCTTCAATATTATATATATATATATATATGTATATATATGTAATATAAGACAACGTAAGAAATATGTGAGCCTCGCGTAACGAGGCCTTGATGCGTCCGTTAATTAACGCATACGTCGTCGCTGCGTTCATAATGACTCAGCTGTACAAATGAACTAGGCGTATCTAGTTGCAGCCAGCATGTAGCTTCTACCATAAGAATAATATAACAAGGACAAGCGCATTGGCTATTAATCTCTATTAAATACTTGAAGAAGATGGACAAAGTAGAACTTTTTCAAGAATATACATTCTAATTTTCTGAATCTTTTTTCACCCTTCTCTCTGTCAAAATTTATTCCTGTTGAGAATTTCTCTCAAAAGAGAGAAATATTCAACTAATGAATTATAAATAATTTGTCAACTTTTTTATCTACGGTTTCTATGATTAATCTTCGAGATATTTTTTTATAGTAAATAATAGCTTCACATTAATAGTGGTGAAGATTATGTACGTACGTATAATCTTTCGTCTTATACCCTGCGCAAACCAAGGTTGTACAAATAAGTACAAGTGCGCATTTACGTTCTTTGTAAGGGAAATTAGAGGCAGAAAATGTGTCGCAAAAAGAAAGAAAGTTGGAAATTAATTTCCATTTTAGCGTTGGATTTATGATATACGCAGTGACATATTACCGTTCTTTTGGGCACGCGATCGCCGAGCATGTGGCTGAGGATGAAGATCGCATTGATGAGAATATAGCCGGCTACCGTAACGTAAATAGTGGCGGCATCGTCCAGCTTGAACCGCGGCCTGTTGAAGATCCGCTGGAACGAGTTCATCGGATCGACCGCCAGACCGATCGCAAAAATGGCCACAATCTGCATCGTGAAGAGAGCATTACGTAAAAAGTTTACTTGCTACGACGCTTGAATGTCGCGAAGTGACAGGTTTGCATCGCATCGAAATAAGGACATCGTCTTCAGTTAGCGTAAATGGAAATTCATCAAATATATTAACCCTCCAGCAAACTGGGGTCTCTTCTAATTCATTTTATATTATTTTTAGTGTTCTAGACTGTCAAAAAATCCCCAAAAATTCTAGATTATTTGTTAATATCTCAATTACAATATCCAATGAATTTTAAAGCCAATTGTTTATACAAGGCAAAGTTTTTGAACAAAATGGAAATTTGCCTTAAAAGACCCAGATTGCTGACGGAGGATTAAATTTACTCGCGTAGAATTGAAAAATGTTCCATAACAAAATTAAAAACACGAAATAAAATCCATAAAATATAATAACCCTCCAGCAAACTATGGGGTCTCTTCTAATTCACTCTATATTATTTTTAGTGCTCTAGACTGTCAAAAAATCTCCAAAAATTCTAAATTATTTGTTAATATCTCAATTACAATATCCAATGAATTTTAAAGCCAATTGTTTATACAAGGCAAAGTTTTTGAACAAAATGGAAATTTGCTTGTGCCTTAAAAGACCCAGATTGCTGACGGAGGGTTAAATTTACTCGCGCAGAATTGAAAAACGTTCCATAATAAAATAAAAAACACGAAATAAAATGCTCTATCTTGTTCAATTGATTGAAGCTATACTCGCCACTTCGATTATTTTGATGACGACCGGCAGATGACTCAGAATCTTGTGTTTGGGGGCCGGCCGTTGACTCTGTTGATCTTCGTCCGCCATTCTCACTCTACGATGTTTTCCCCTTCTGTCGCCCAGTTTGAAGGATTTTCAACTGCAAGATTCGATGAGGATCGATCCTTTCTTTATCGCGTGCGCTCGACCCCTCTTAGGCAGTCTTATAGTGGACCCTAAAACCAGAAACGCGATAGTAATCGCGCGTAGGGGAGACGCACGTAAATCGGAGGGTTGAACCCGAGAAAAGCGACTCACGTGACGAAACGAACGAAAGACCGAAGCGAAATAATTCGAGCGGCAAAGTAAAGATTTTCCTCAATTTTGCGATTTCACTCTTCCTAGTATGTATTCACGCATAATTCTGGTCGTAAAACCTATCACGAACACGTCATACATTTTTCTTTCGAAACGAAATATAAATTCCAAGCATGAAGGAGAACAAATACTTCTGTGTCTTTTAAGTATCGTAATAATTTTTTGTTCTTTCTTTTTTGTCAAGGAAATAAATACGCAGTTATGTCACGAATTGCGTATATAATAAAGTGAGTCGCTGCGCCTGTGAGACTCGTTATACCTAAATGGACTTCAAGTAGTACGTCGACTAACAAATACTCCGTCCATTGAGTCACCTGACACGCGTTCCTGTCCACGTGTGTTGCCGTCACCTCTCTCTCACTTCAACGCCACAACCACACTTTACTACAAGAACAAGTTCCAGATCGTCGTAGATTGCGCCACGTGTTGTATTTTGCCTATTTTATTTCTACCTTTCGAGAAAGTAGAGCGGCCTTCGGATGCACTTTCCCTCCGTTTGTTTTTCTATTTTTTTTTTCCCGAACTAGTTGACGCACAACAACGCTGAGTTGCTCGTCCCAATGGGGAACCGTGCCGCACGTTGCAGCGGCGCAGCTCGAACTGAAACGCAGAACGTATTACGGTATCGTATACGCGACACTTATGAGCTTTACGATTCTCGCGCAAGCGAAGTACGGACTTGATGGAGGTCCCGAGTGCGCGCGAGCGACCGAGTCGGGCTTAGGTGTATATTCAAAGACGAGGAGAATCGATGCTCCGATATACCTAAGGCACCTTAGGCGCTCGCCTTGGGTTTCATCATTCTCAGGGCTTTCACTCATTCAGTGGCCACCAAACTTTCACCAAAAATCTCGTTAATCCCGTATCTACATATGATTGCGGGAGAGAGAGAGATGTTCCTTCTTTGAAATCGCTAGGAACTCGATGACGAATATAGGAATTTAACGATGTCACACTTCTCTTCGGAGGTGTTGCCTCCTGCTTGCGACAAGAAAACGTATCGAGGTCGGGCTCTTTCACGCACGATAGCGTTTGACATCGCCAGATTTCCGGTCGCGTTTTTTTTTTCCTGCTCTGCATATATCGGTAATGTGTCACGGACACGCGCGAAGTGTCCGTGTTTATGCGTGTTGCGTGCACACCCTATTGCGTCATCGATTAAATGACACGTAATAACGGTGCATTACGGAGTCAGTCGTCGAAGGACAGCTCTTGCAGCTTCTTCCTGCAACAGGTTGACTCGATGGACGAGGAAGAAAGTTGCAGCGGAAGATCTTTCGATTTTCAAGTTATTTTTTAACAGACTATATATTATTTAATCTAGTAAGAAACGTGAAGAAAAATGCGATGTAAGAAAATTCGAAATCCTTCTCTCTTTAATTCAGAGACATTTGCTTTCCGTTTCCGTGTTTCAATTTAATTATTGAAAAAATTAACTTTATTAATTATATTGAACTGACTTCATTAAGGGAATGCTGCTGTTGTTCTGTTTTATCAACTTTAAGTTAGGTTAGGTGCACTTTTTATTGAATATACAGATTGAATAATTAATTCAAGTACGAATCTTTTGATATAGGCTTTTAATCTCATTTTTATTACTTTTGTATTATTCTTTCATGTCATCTTTATTGGGAGCGCCATATTTTGTGCACAAATAAACTGCAGAACTTTTGTATTAAATAAGTATTGTTATGAGCTGATGCAAGAGGCCGATAAAAAACTGTAATTTTTTTAACTTTTATTGTTTTTTATACGAAATTACAGCGCTCCCCGTTCATTATTGTCAGTACTTTAATTGTGGAGAAGGATTTTTCAATCTGTATAGCCAATAAAAAGAAAAGCTCTTGAACTCAAAGTCGGTAAAACAGTCGTAGTCAGCATACCCTTAAATTTGACAAAATGTTATTTTATTTATCGTTTAATTAATTACGCTTGTATTATTTTTAAAGAACTGCCTTCAGTAATTCGGCTTAGCCGAATTATTTAATTAATTAAATTAATTGAATTAACTTTATAAAATTTTATTTGTCGTTTAATTAATTGCACTTGCGTTATTTTTAAAGAACTGTCTTCGATTGCATTAACTTGAGTAATTATCGAATTGATTTGATTAAATTTTACCATGAAATTTTATTTATTGTTTAATTAATTACGCTTGTATTATTTTTAAAGAACTGCCTTCAGTAATTTGGCGTATTGTTAGCCGAATTATTTAATTAATTAAATTAATTGAATTAACTTTATGAAATTTTATTTGTCGTTTAATTAATTGCACTTGCGTTATTTTTAAAGAACTGTCTTCAATAATTCAGCTTGACCGAATTACTTAATTAATGATGCACTTATTGCATTAACTTGAGTAATTATCGAACTGATTAAATTTTTCTATGAAATTTTATTTATTGTTTAATTAATTGCGCTTGCATAATTTTTAAAGAACCATTGTATGTACACCCAAATGCGTGCAAAGAGTATATAATTGAAAATTTCCGCAGGAGCGACTTCCCTCGCTCGCGACTCGGCACGTTCGATCCTATTTCACGGCGTTATTTTGACGTCGCGGTATGGTGCAAGGACACGTCGTAATTCCGCAGATTGCATTGCCTACCTTGTATTGAAAAGGCTCGCTATCGTATTACACGCAAATGCGCGCGCGCACTTATTACGTTTCACGTAATTATGGCAACGCGAATTATTTTTAACTCGCGACTAGTAGTAGGTCTACCGGACTGCAATTAATGGACTTTTAATGCACTAGCTCGCAATACGATAAAAGTACAACTTTCCGATTGTAGGACGCGATTGTGGGACGCACAGTGCTCTGATTATTTTATACCACAGTGTGGTATTGTTAATCTAATTGTGATGAGAGAAACAATGTTGTACTATTATATAATCTATTAATGTTAATTAATATAATCAAATTTAATTAATATTATATGCATATTATTATTAATCCTCTAGCAATCTAGGTTTGTAAAGACACAAGCAAATTTATATTTTTTCTCCAAATTTTGCTTTGTAAACAAATGTATGATTTAATATTTGGCTTTAAAATTTATTGTAATAGAGATATTGCAAATAGATAAGTTTTTGGGATTTTAAAAAATCTAGAACAAAGATAATGAGGAATGAACTGAAAAGATCTAGTTTTTTGATGGCATTAATAAAAAAAATGGTTACTGACGGAAGATTAATATGCGTCATTAGAAGAAACTTGATTTATTCGATTAATTAAATTCAGAAATAACCAAGATAAATAATTTCACTGTGTTGCATTTTATTTATTACATCTTGTATTAAAAATTAATTTATTTAAAAAATCGTACTAATATATATCTATCGAAGACGTTATAGTCGAAGATGCAACATAAATATAATTAATTTGAAATGGAATTAGATTCTGCGCGTGTTCGCGTGTTATTAAATTCTTTATGAATTTTCCGTCTTGTCTGATGCGCAAAAAAAGTTCATTACACACAAAGCACGCGACTTTACATCACCTGTATGCAGTTTTTACATTGCTATATATACTTTGGCTTTAACCAACATTGTCGGAAGAGAATCGTATCGATCCGTAAATGTTGTACGACGACAACGTTAGCTTGCAATCTTTCACTTTTCATATATCGCGATATTTCTGAGTATCTATGTCAACTCTCGTCCTCGATGAAATATTTACGTAGCTTACACGACAATTATTTTTCGTCTCTATACACAAATGCTTACATAGTGAATTTCTCCTCCGCCGACAGTAAGAATAAGAATGTTATATTTTTATCGCGTTGACTTATTCCCTTTGGGACATCTCGAGCTTTGATTTTTTTTATCTCATAATCGATTAATTTTTTTTCTAAAAAAAAAACAATTTATGAAAGGAGGAAAAAGTGCTTACTCACGTCTAGAACCTAGAACAACAAATTATTCTAATGAGGTTTTCTCCTTCTCTCGCACGAGTACTATGTTTATTCAAGCGCGAATAATATACTTGTCCCGTTGTTGTTATTATTATTATTATTATTGTTAATATTGTTATTATTGTTATTGTTGTTGTTGTTGTTGTTGTTGTTGTTGTTGTTGTTGTTGTTGTTGTTGTTATTCCAGCTTTGTACCTTAGCGAAATTAAGCGTGACCTCTGCGCGATTAACGTGATTATACACGACCCGTGGGTGGGTGTGCAATCGTGTCGGTCATCCGCGACGATCGCCGGGTCAAATGGATTAATTGATGCGGTAGGACGGGATGCATCTTAGTAGGGCCTGGTATGATGGAATCATCCGGTGGAACGTCGTCGTGGAACGAATCAACGTTTACTTCGACAAGGGCCGTCTCCGGCAAAACGTTTCCAGCCGCGCGCTTTCTACATTTTCTCCTTCGTGCAGAGACCACCGGTTAAACAAAAGAGGTCACACGCATAATTATCGCCCGATACGTGTTATCGGTCGTTCGAGAAGGTGCGACCGAGAAGCCAGACGCGAAGGAAAAAATTTTCACAGCGGCGTCGCGAATGCGATTTTTAGAAACGAGCTCTTTGCTTCGGAGTAGAAAAATTTGTGCACCGAACAAAAATGATTAAGTTAATAAATATTTGTTTGAAATAAATAAATATTTTATTCGTTTTGAAAAAGATTTTCTTTTATAACGAATAAATATTTTTTATATTAAATCAATAGTTTTAAATTAATAATTTATTTGGCAGTATTGAAATATATACTTATTTGAGTTCAATAAATTTTTTTTTCAGTGTGTTTTCTTGTTAAAAACGGTCCCCGTTAAAATTTTTGTGTTAAATATTTAACACAATCCTGTGTTAATTTAACATATTACTGTTTTGTTAATTGAACTTAAATGTTAAATTAAAATAACAGAAAAAATGTAAAAATAACAATGTGCACCTATTTTTAATTTTACACAATAAATATATGTTCTGCTTTATTAGTGACAAGATTTATCTGTTAAAATTTACAGAAAAAAATGTTGATTTTTTATTTTATAATATCTATTTTATAAAATCTAAAATTAACATATTTTCTGTTAATTTTTACATTAAAAGTATGTTAATTTTACACAAAATTTATTTTAAATTATTTAAAGTTTTGCATTTATTTTATGTTAAAATATTAACACTATATTTGTATCTCCATTTAACATATATTCATATTCATTTATTTTGTGTTAAATTAACACAAAAATTTCTATGAACCGTTTGGGACATGGGATATTTGTTAAATTTAACAGAAATTTTTCAACTGTGTTTTAAACCAGAAGAACGATAGACGTAAATAATAAAAATTGAAAATATTGATTCTCTCTCTTATATACATATGTAAGAAATATATTTTATAAATCAGTTTGATATAAATTCTTCGTGAGAAATTTTGTTGGGAAACATGTTACATGTGTATTACTTTGATCGATGTACGAATAAATATGTATAAAAATGTATAATGGGGGGAGACTTGCTGCTCTTCTTAATATTTGAAGAAGGATAAGATTATTTGCATTTCTCTTACAAAGGAAAACGACTCTCCGTACTAAAAATAATGATTAATAATACTCGGAAGTGTAGAAATAATTGGCGATAATTTTGCGATTTTTTTTGACGAGTTGATTTTGATGAAATGAAACGGAGGGAAATTATTATTGAATATCGTCGCTGTTGTCATCGACGTTATCTTGTAATACTTTTTTTATGCGAATTCGTCTTTAGCGTAATGGAGGAAGCTCAATATGAGATCCACCAGATAAGTCGCTCCTTCTAAGACGCATAACGAACCCACAGCAAGGCCGATCTGAAATTATGTATTTTGAAATTATTTATTTGTGTGTGCAAAATGCTACACAAAACTTGATAAAAATAAAGCAATATATTTATCAAAATTTAGAATAAATTTCCTACAAACGCTATCTATTTTTAAATATCGAACAAATTTAAGAAAAGTAATAAGCTTGTGAAGAAAATAAACAAATAATAATTTATGTTGCATTTAATTCTAAGTATTTAAGTAATAAATTATTTAATTTTAATATTTTTTGGAAGATTATTTCTACAGATGATTAAAATTAAAATGTATATATATATATATTGAATCCATTTTTGTAAATTTATATTTTTTTCACTCGTGTGAAAAATAATTCTCTTACCGTAATTGGGAAAACTTATACCTACATTCTTCAATTTTTTAACTTTATTCTACTTGTTCGAAATTCGACTTACCTGCCTCTCTGGTGCATCGTATATGAATTTTTGGTCAGGCTGGTAACCGTGCCAATAGTGAAGAGCTGTTCCACCTACAGCTACAAACATGAACGTTCCGACAAAATTCATGATGATTTCCTGTAAAAAGAAATTGCATTTGTTTCGATCAAATTATTTTAAAATTTTTGAACAGTGAAAGAAAAATTGAAATTTCATGTTTATAAAGTTTGTTAATGAAGAAAAAAATTATTTTCTGTTAAATGTGTCAAGAATTTCATTGATATGATACTTAATTCTCGAAATGTAATCTCTCTTGTGAAAAATGTGATTTTAGTTTTACTGTAATTTGACGTAACTATTTAATTATGAAATTTGCACGTCGACATGCAAGTACTTACCACTAGAGTCTTTTTGTGCTCGGTATTTCCAAAACAGTAGCTGACGAGCACGACACTCGTGTAGACGAAGAAGCCGACGAAGACGCCGGAAGCGACAATCTCGGTATCGGGATTTTTGTCCTCATTTAAGTTCCATGTTCCACCTACACCCAAAAATTCTCCCCCATATCCTGTACGATACAGGATCAGAATAATGAGGTTGAGAACCTGAAAATTGATAAATCATGAGTATTTATTTGTGCAAAATGTCACGAGAAACTTAATAAAAGTAAGGCAATATATTTATCAAAATTTAGAATAAACCTACAAACGCTATCTATTTTTAAATATCGAACAAATTTAAAAAAAGTAAGCTTACGAAGAAAATAAATAAATAATAATTTATTTTGCATTTAAGTCTAAGTATTTAAGTAATAAATTTTGTAATAAAATTTTTATATTTAATAACTTTTAATAAATATTTTATTTAATACAACTTTTTTACTGTGTTTCGACAATAGCTATAATTAATTTCGAAAATTTGAAATTTAGGTGATCGAAGAAAAACGAAATATGATAATCTTATTATTATCATTATAAAAGTTTTCTGGAGCACTCCATAGTTTCATGCAAGCAACGTATATAGCGTATCGCTTACTAAACGTGCGTTATCACGAGCGATAAGGGCAGTCAGAATGAATCATATACACGAATGTCCCTTGAATGACTGTATTTATAATGATTTTCCAACTCACGTTTTTTCACGATTGAATCAATGACCCGTGTTTATTGCACAACTTGCTAAGTAGAATATATGAGTCAGGTTAAATAAATTTTTTTACATGAAACTTAGTTTTGTTACATTGACCAGATACGTTACATCATATTAAAATGATCACAATTTAATATATTTTATTTTAATTGAACTATATAAATATATTTCCTAAAAGAAGTTTATTGAATTGATTGATCAACTTGGAGTCGTAAAAGATTTAATTAAATATATCTTTCTTCATAATTTTTCAACATTTAATATTAAACAGTTTCGTAACTAATTATAAGTCAAAGTTCTGATAAAATAAGTCACTCCAAATTAAATAAGAAGATAAGAAGTGAATTTGTTATGTCGAAAAATTCCTTGAATTTTTTACTCTAAATTTAACAAGGAAAATATCATGATTTTCAGACACTCTGCAAAACTATTTTCCTTTTCCACAGGTACACGTTTCTCACGATGATTACGACATGCGAGCGAAAATACTATTGTCTCACCAATTTCAGCACTTTGATCACTATACTCGCAATAGTCTGCAGGGACACCATGCTTGCAATAAACTTGGTGTTCAACACCTTTCGCCGTGAAAATGAACGAACAAAATGAAATCCACTATCGGGCGCTTCCCGAAGCGGAAAACCAAGCCCTCTTTATCTAATCAGATGATATAAAGAATATGGTTGAAACGAGGATAAGAATCGTAGAGGATCAACGCACATGCGCGATCTCTTATCGAGAGATAATTTTTGAATCGGCTTCTGCGTCGAGTTTCTTCTTCATTTTTACAACAGAGCGCTATCGAAAATAATGGTACCGATCAGAAAAATTGATCAGCAACGACTTTTCAGGAGCTCGGTCTGGCCATCAAGCCGCAGCAGGTTGCCGAGATGGAGGCACACGTGGACGACATCGACTTTGAAGCCGTCGCCAAGGAAGAAAGGGCGACGAGACACGACGTGATGGCACATGTTCACGTTTTTGGGAAACAGTGTCCACTGGCTGCACCCATCATCCACCTCGGCGCGACCAGCTGCTACGTGGGCGATAATACGGTATGACTAATTTATTTTACTATTATGAATGATGATTATGAATGATGATTTTTAAATTAGCTAGATAAAGATGCGATAAAAATATGTAAATTTTCTAGATAATCATTTTTAAGACTGCTTATGTGAACACAGTTATAAGACAAATGTAAATTATGAAAGGGATATAAAAATATATATGTATTCATATTTTTATTTATAAATTTTTATCCCTTATACTGTTTAGTTCTACTATTTAAGTATTTTTATGTGCTATAATTCTAAATCAAAATTATCTGAAAATTATTCTAGATCATCTATATAATTTTATTTAGATAACAGCAAACCCTGATTACGAAGGATATTGTCTAGACCTGGAGATATGTCATATGATTTATAAAAAACATCTCTTAAATTTTAATTAAATTTCGTAAGATTAATAGAGGCAACTAATTTGTTAATATTGTTGTTTTGCGAAGGATCTCTTGATCCTGCGCCAAGGCTTTGACATACTGCTCCCGAAACTGGCCAGCGTAATTCGGCGTCTCGCCAAGTTTGCTCTCGAGAACCGCAGCTTGCCTACTTTAGGCTTTACCCACCTTCAACCCGCACAGCTGACGACGGTCGGCAAAAGGGCGACGCTATGGTTACAAGAATTGTTGATGGACGAAAGGGCTATTCGTCGGGCTAGAAACGATCTCAGATTTCGCGGAGTCAAGGGCACTACTGGCACCCAAGCATCTTTTCTTCAGCTGTTCAATGGTTAATTTTTACTTTATTTCATCAAGAGCAAATGAGAATATGTAGACTCGGAATTAATTTTTTTTTCAGATGATTTTAAAAAATTGTATTTAAATATATATGAATCTAGTTTTTATAATAATGACAATAAAATTTTTATTATTCAGATCTCTCTCAAGAAGAATCGAAGTTACAAAAACTTGATAAGCTTAATGAAACCTAACTAAAATTTTGGGAAATAACTGCTACAAAATTAATGTTAATAGGCGATGCGGAAAAAGTGAAGCGATTAGACGATCTTGTCACAAAGATGGCTGGTTTCGAAAAGCATTATGCTGTTACCGGACAGACGTACAGCAGAAAAGTCGATATAGAATGCTTGAACGTCTTGAGTTCACTTGGTGCGACTGTTCACAAGGTGAGCTAAAAAAATTCTTCGCGCAACAGCTCTAAATTAAAACACAACCTTTCTTCCAAAAATTATCTTCCCAATTAATTTTTCTAAATCTTCTTCAGATCTGCACGGACATTCGGCTTCTCGCGAACATGAAAGAGCTCGAAGAGCCCTTCGAGAGCACCCAGATAGGTTCGAGCGCAATGCCTTACAAGCGCAACCCAATGCGCTCCGAGAGATGCTGCAGCGTGGCACGTCACCTGATGACTCTGGTGAACAACGTCCTTCACACCGCGGCGACCCAGTGGATGGAACGAACGCTGGACGACTCGGCGAATCGTCGGGTCACCTTGGCGGAGGCCTTCCTGTCGGCCGACGCGATCCTGATGACTCTCCAGAACATTACCGAGGGTTTGGTCGTCTATCCCAAAGTCATCGCAAAACATGTGGCGCAAGAGTTGCCCTTCATGTCCACGGAGAACGTGATAATGGCTATGGTGAAGGCCGGTGGTGACAGACAAGTACGATACACTTTTCTTTATTTTTAAGAGGATGCTGATCATGACTGTTTTACTGACTTTGACTTCAAGAGCTTCTCTTTTTATTGGCTATACAGATTGAAAAATCCTTCTCTACAATTAAAGTACTGATAATAATGAACGTTGTAATTTCGTACAAAAAACAATAAAAGTTAAACAATTACAGTTTTTTTATCGGCCTCTTGCATCAGCTCATAACAATACTTATTTAATACAAAAGTTCTGCAGTTTATTTGTGCACAAAATATGGCGCTCCCACTAGAGATTATATGAAAGAATAATACAGAAGTAATAAAAATAAGATTAAAAATAAGTTTGTGGAGAATTTGTCAATCTGTATATTCAATAAAAAGTGAACCTAACCTAACTTAAAGTCGGTAAAACAGAACAACGGCAGCATCCCCTTAAGTATGTTTATATTGGATCAAAATTTTGAGCAATTTTCTAAAGAGGATATCAAATTTTATCGTAGGTTTGTCACGAAAAAATTCGCGTGTTATCGCATGAAGCTGGAGCGCAGGTGAAGCAACACGGCTTGGATAACGATTTGGTTGACAGGATCAAGAAAGATCCATATTTTGCGCCAATCTTATCTCAATTGGACGATTTGCTGGATCCGGCGACTTTCGTCGGTAGAGCGCCTGAGCAAGTCGTCGAGTTCCTCGAAGAGGAGGTGCATCCTATACTTAAGAATTACGAGGGACAAGAAAGTGAAAATGTTGAACTTAATATTTGATTCTCATCATGACTGTTTTACTGACTTTGACTTCAAGAGCTTTTCTTTTTATTGGCTATACAGATCAGGGAAAGGGATTTAATAATAGTTTAGTAAAAATCTTCTCGAGTGTTTTCCAGAGAAATTTATTATGTGATATCAGATTATATCAGAGTGGAGAGTGTGATTGGCTTTTAGGAATATTTTTGTAGGAAAGTTATGAAATTATGTGCGTATACACAATTTTATTCATATTGTTAA